AAAAGGATTAAACCCTTGTATTGTTCCAAGCATAAAAAGTTGATTGGTTAATCATAGATTAGTCCATAAGTGTTAATTGAGTGTTTGTTGTAGGCTATATTGTAAATACCGGTACATATCCTGGGGCGGTGGCATAGCCGACTGGTTAAAGCGTTCACTCGTCACACGGAAGACCCGGGTTCAATTCCCCACATGGTACAATATGTGAAGCTCATTTCTGGTGTCCCCTGTCGTGATATAGCTTGAGTATTGCTAAAAGCGGCATAAAACTAAACTCCCTCACTCACTGAAATACATGTCCAGAACAGTGGAAATCAGTATATTGATGAACTGGTGCCTTCTGATGATTGTAGATCTTTTTTTCAAATCAACATTTGATAACAAGTTGGACATTGCTGAAAAGAGTGAGTGAGTGAGTGAGTTAGTTAAGTTTTTCGCCGCTTTTAGCAATATTCCAGCTATATCACGGCGGGGGACACCAGAAATGGGCTTCACACATTGTACCCATGTGGGGAATCGAACCCGGGTCTTCGGCATGACGAGCAAATGCTTTAACCACTTGACTACCCCACCACCCCCTGAAAAAGAGAGCAGTGCTAGTTTGCTAGTGCTTGTTTAACTCCAAACTGTTGAATATTTCTTGTTGAAACTTGCTGCTCAGAACAGTGTAATGGTTAACTGGTACCTTTTGATGATTTGGGTTGGTAAAAAATATTAAACAGCATAATTTATTTTTAACTGAACCAAATGACAGTTAACTAAAAGTGAGTTTTAAGTAGCTTCTGATTTTCAAGAGACCAAAGGGAGATGTCATGATGATTCTTGTGTAGGTTTTCTATGAAATGCATAAGATATTGTTTATGTCCTAACTGTGTTCTACATATGCAGTTTTCGGTGTAATTTCATATAGAAACTAACCATCATAGCTGCATGAATGAAATACAGCTCTTAGGGACCGTTCATAATTTATGGCTAGGGGAGTTGATGATGATTTTAAGGGGGATGGGGGTCACCCATTTTGTTCTGGGGAGGTAGGGGGAGTCATCAATTTTGTACACATGTACTAGGGGGTGTCATCAATTTTGTACATAAAATTATTTTAAATTTATGCTTAGAAAATATGGGAAGAGGGATGGGGGTCATTGATTTAGTGCATGACATGCAGGGGCGTCACTTACTTTGTACATAAATTTTAGGGGGGGTCAGTCACATTGTACATGCTTCTCCATAAAATTCATCATCATCCGGTGTCCTCCCATTACGCAGACAGACCAGTTCGTATACACCTTAAAACAACAACATTTACGGTTCAGTGAACAGATTATCTACTACCTGTTACCTACACATTATTATGGAATAGTCCAAATAAAAACACAGGAACAAACTGAAGCTAAATTCTTCAAAGGCATTTTGAAGTTGGTGTAGTAATACAAGACATGGATAACATAAATCAAGATTTGTCTTGTATTAAAACTGAAGCTATATTATTTATTTTGAAAGACTGACGAAAAGACAGTAATTTGAATTTTTATTGCTGCAATATGAAACAGTTTTTCACAAACATTTCGGTTTAACCTTCTAGTCTAACGGGAGTTGGCATCATCATATTGAAAACTAGCTTAGTTATTAGAAATTTCGACACTGATGTATCATATAAATCAAATAAAGACAAATGTGAACCTAAATATTATTCATATGGAATAAAGAAGTTATATGTTTTGCACACAGTATTAAGATATATGACGAGTGCACTTAATTACGATTTATTTAGAATAAATATTTAAAATATGACGCATCATGTCAATGTGACCATGGATGTGAGAATGTTTTTCATTACGTCCTTGAATGGCCATTGTATACTACTCAAAGACATAAACTGTTACAATCCTTAGAAAGTATTGTTAAAATTAGAACACTGATTTGTATTAATCGTATCTTACATGGCAATGTAGGTGTCTCATTTACTGCAAATCAGAATGTTTTCAAATATGTACATAAATTTATCTATATCTCTCCCACAAAACGTTTTCTCAGTTAACTTCTGTTTTACATATGCTATTATTGGGAGGGGGCTTTTATATCAATAGACACAATCAAACCTCTCAGTGACAAACCTGTTTTTATATTCGATAGTAATTGATAGTAAAACAATTTTGAGAAGAGAAATCATTTATCATTTAAACACAACAAAGTTCTATTTACCTACAATCAAACTTCTCAGTAACGAACCTGTTTCAGGCTCAACCTGCTCTACTCACTAAACAGTGGACTGTTCCATTATACCCGTAGGTGTAACCCTAATTAACCTTCTAGTTCAGCGTCTGTCAAATGGGTGTCTGTCAAATGGGAGATAACCCATCATCCCCCTAGCCATAAATTATGAATGGTCCCTTATTGAACTAAAACATGCAAATATCTGATGTATTGATGATGCAATAATGTACACATACTCTGCAATATGTTCAGATATAGAAACTGATTTTAGGAGGACTTAGGGAGAATGGGCAAGAAACTGCTTAAACTAGTTAACACAGTGGTCGATATACAAGCTACGTTCACTAGGGTTGTTATGATTCACTTGTGTAGTTGATGAATCCAACCATATACCATCATGATTTCAATTTGTTATTTGTGATCACTGGAATCAAACAGTCATAATTTTTATATTTTAGAAATTAGTGGTTTTACTTGAATTTGGGCATTATTTGTCGAAATGAGATATGTAAATAGGAATATTTCCAAACCAGGAGGATAATTGTGAATACTCTCATAAATCTAAACTCACTCACATTTCATAAGGACAAAATTGTAAGTATTTGAAAGTTGTGCCATGAAGAGATATCTCAGTATTAAAATGTGAACCAATGTAAATTGTAATAATGTTAAGCAAGGTATTAAATGTCCAGTAATAAATTATATACAATGTAGCTGGATTTGTGAGTTTTGCTGTAGATCTGGGGGAAATTATAGGTCACTGTGAACATGAATATTGATCTCTGCAGTAATACACATGTATGCTTGAGCCCCACTAAATGTGGTTTAATCTTTATGACTATCATAAATCACTTATTAAGGATGATATTTGTAGCTACTGGTAAATGATGAGTGAGTGAGTTTTATAGCTACATTACATAGCAACATTATAGCTATAGTCCGTTTGGCTCAAAAGCGGACCGATGAATTGCAATCCAACTCGAAAACTAATAAATATAACATACTCAATGAAACACTGATCATAATCAAAACATCATACCAACTCTGTGAGGTTTTTGCAGAATTTTTGTCCTAAAAATAATAAAGTTGTTTAACAAACCATCATTAAAATATTGACACAGTTCACTATTTGTTACGAGGGAGGAGTGCAGAGAAAGGGACAGCCAGGTGTTCGAGAAACACGTTCACAGACAAAGTTATTTATTCATTAACCTGTGCTGTGCCGTCTCCATCCGTTCTCGAACACCTGGCTGTCCCTTTCTCTGCACTCCTCCCTCGTAACAAATAGTGAACTGTGTCAATATTTTAATGATAGATTGTTAAACAACTTTATTATTTTTAGGACAAAAATTCTGCAAAAACCTCACAGAGTTGGTATGATGTTTTGATTATGATCAGCGTTTCATTGAGTATGTTATGTTTATTAGTTTTCGAGTTAGATTGCAATTCATCGGTCCGCTTTTGAGCCAAACGGACTATAGGTCATGTCAAGAGAAGCCAAAAATGGGATTATGTCATTGGAGAGCTTGAAGTTCAAGTTGTGTGATGAAGTTGTATACATGCACATGTGATGGTTCATGAATGCTCAACTACAGATATGCAAATAAATTCAAAATTTGTGTTGCATGCATACTATTACGCGTCTAAACGTTACCAGAGATGGAAAGTGAGATGATGCACAACAGCTCTTACTTTTGATAACTAAAAAACAGATGCATGATATTTTTGTTATGAGCATGTCTCATATGAAATAGTGAGTGAGTGAATATAATTGCTAGATCGATTGATTGAATAATCGGTCAAACAATTGATCTCGCTTGCGTTAGCGATTATCGATGAGCTTATTAGACTGACCAATATTCATAAAAACGGAAACATCTAATTAAAGGTTGTTAAGTATGTTTTCTATTGTTATAGTTGTTAAATCAAAACAAGTGATGCAGTTTACTGACTTGTAAAACTACCATGTAAACAACATTCTCGCGCGTGTCTCAACAGGAAGTATCCCTGATCATCTTGATCGTAGTATCAATCGGTGCCTGTTTTGTTTCACAATGTGAGATTGTGCCCCGTTATTGCCCACATGAGTTTTGTGGTGGGGTTTACGATTACAATCACAGGGCTCCAGATAAGGTCCGTATCGGCGTATGTACGGATACAAAATTTGCGCGATACGGTAGGAAATAATTTATAAAACGTAGCAGATACGCACCACGGCAATGGTGTACGGTCTTAGAATCATTTACAGACGTATTTATCTGAAAAAGTATTGTTTTATTGTATATTGACCTGTTTACACAAGACTAGCAATGTTGTGGTGCATATATGAAACGAAACACAAGATTACTGATACGCCATTAAATTCCATTCAGTACTCTAAATGTAGGCTTAAGGTTTTCGAGTACTCCTATATTGAAAAAATAAGGAGTACGTACTCCTGGTGTTCAAAAAGTATCTGGAGCCCTGAATCAGTTATAAATGGATTACTGCACTCCGATTATCAATCTGCGAATCGTGAACAATAACCAGCACAAGGGGGTATGTCTTTTGTGGCACCTTTAGCAATATTCCATCAATATCACAACACCAGAAATGGGCTGCATACATTTTACCCATGTGGGGAATCGAACCCGGATCTTTGTCCACAGATTTGTATGTTCTGAGTTTTGTGTGATTACCATGCTTTCCCTTGGAGAGGTACTATCTTGTAGAGTAAATATCGTTCATAATGCAACTACATATGCATACCACATGGTACAATGATGCCTTGTTTTGCCTGGTTTCAGACGATATCATAAAGCGCCGTCTGCTGATTGAAGGAGAAGGGGGAAACGATGACAAGAGACTGAACAACCTTCTGAAACAGTTCATCCGCTGGTGCAATTCCCCCGATGATGAAGAGAGGTAGGGAGCCATCGCATAGTACTACAGTTCTTGTTCATTCAAGGCTTAATGATGGCTATTGTTGTCCCCCTCCGCAACGCGGAACGGGGGACTATGTATTCAGCGGCGTCCGTCCGTATGTACGTACGTCCCGATTCTTGTTAACGTGATATCTCATGAACTGTAGTACCCAATGTCTTCAAATTTGGTGACAGCCTACATTGGGAGATTACACAGACACCAGTTGATTTTGGTGACCTTGACCTTATTTTCAAGGTTACCCTGACACTTTGACCTTTACTGAAACTCTTGTTAACGCGATATCTCATGAACTGTTGTACCCAATGTCTTCAAATTTGGTGACAGCCTACATTATGCAGACACCAGTCATTTCAGGCATCTTGTATGTGACATCCCCAAAAAGTAGTAAATGTGTTATAAATATTCCATTCTTTAGCGGCAGTGGCAAACACTTGTTGCATATCATTCTAGTAGTGGAGTGATTGATGGACTAATCAGGACACTGATGATGATTGGTGATTGCTAAGGTGTCTAATAGGTAAAGAATTCCTATATGTCTCTTGTACATTTTAAGGTTTAAACATTGCCCACCAATTTGTAGTAAAACAACATGATGGTTGGTTGGTATGTTATCCCTTAATTTACTATTTGTTGTTATCCTGTATGGATTTGTGAGTTTGAATTGGACCCAAGCAACCCATCTTTCTTAAAATGGGTGATCTAGGATCCAGTGGTCAGTCTTGGTTGATTGCATCTCTTTGTACCCGATGGTTTGGATACCTGCTTATACGTGGATTAGGTAATGGCTGCTGTGCTATAGTTGGAATATTGCTGATATTCAAATTTATATTCAAGAATAACAAGAACCAAAAAGAACAGCAACAGATCAGCGACACAAGTATTGATTAAAGCGTTAACTCCAAGCATCATGATCATTCAGGATGATTACTAATTGCCAAAATGACAAATTGATACAGAATTCCTGTACGTTTATAAAGTTCCAAAGGTTTAAGCCTGCTACACTTTGCAAAAACAGCAATGAACCTGCATGTAGTGAAGCAAAATAAGAGTTGCCATTGGTAGGTTACAACTTTCTGTTCCTAGTTATTATTGCCCATGGGGATTTTGTGTTAGAATTGGTCCCCGGCAACCAATCTTGGTGAAAAATGACGGAATGGAATGATTCTCCAAGATATTTTTATGGATTAAACTTCTTTTTAATTTCTCTCACGACGTTTCGAGACCATTCCAGGTCCCTTTATCAGGTGAACTCAAAACGTCGTGAGAGAAATTAAAAAGAAGTTTAATCCATAAAAATATCTTGGACATCAATGTACAACTTCTAAATGCCACTGAAAGACATGGAATGATTCTGTCAATTGCAAGTCACTGTACCACGACAGTGTCAATCACTTCTTGTACTATCCTTCACTGGAAAGTCAGGTCCAGACTGGATGATTTAAAGGCAGCTGTCCTATGACTGGAATATGGCTTGTGTTCAACAACAAGTAGAGAAATGAAACACAGTGGTGGGGTAGCCTAATGGTTAAAGCGTTGGCTCGTCACGCCGAAGACCCGGGTTCGAATCCCCACATGGGCACAATGTGTGAAGCCCATTTCTGGTGTCCCCCGCCGTGATGTTGCTGGAATATTGCTAAAAGCGGCGTAAAACCAAACTCAGTCAGTCAGTCAGTGAAACACAATACCGGTATCTTTACAAGGTGATGTGGTGACAGAAGCTCTCATACAATCACCGTGATCACCTTGCTTTCTAATATCCAAGCTGATCACAATATTTTTTCTCAACTGTTATTTCCATGTAAATGAAGATAACAATTCCCAGTAATATGCAGACAGGTGTTAGTGTAGAAAGATTATACTTCAAACTATATGCACATACCGCAAGCAAGATAAGAAGAGGTTCCTTTTGCAGTTTAGTCTCCTTTTCTGGTATTATTATCTTACTACTTGTCTGCAATTGTATCAGTTCTAACGTGTGTGATTGGGTTTCACCAACTTAGTGAACGTCTGCTCCCTGTGCCATTTAGGGTGTTCTTCCAACATCATGCCAACCCATACAGTTTTTATGGAGTTATGTTGCCTGATTTTACACATTGACTGTAACATATATACAAGAGATGTGCCCGTGCATAGTGGGTTGATGGGTTGGTGCAGGACCAGCTGGTCTGTGGTTTGAATTCTGTACTCATTAGTGTGATGTACTCCTCACTGGTATTTTGTACTTTACAGTGGTGGGTGGTGGGGTAGTCTAGTGGTTAAAACGTTGGCTCGTCACTCCGAAGGCCCAGGTTTGAATCCCCACATGGGAACAATGAGTGAAGCCCATTTCTGGTGTCCCCCGCTGTGATATAGCTGGAATATTGCTAAAAGCGGCATAAAACCAAACTCAGTCAGTCAGTACTTTACAGTGGTATTGTGTACCTTTTGTGTACCCCTTCGTGGTATGATGTACTCCTCGGTGACATTGTGTACATTTTGATGGTATTCTGTATTTTTTTGTGTACACCTTAATGGTATGATGTACTCCTCGGTGACATTGTGTACTTTTTGATGGTATTCTGATTTTATTTTGTACACCTTAATGGTATGATGTACCCCTCGGCGACATTGCGTAATTCACATAGGTTTTTTGTACTGACAGTGGTATTGTATTCTCTTCAGTGGTGTTGTTGACCTTTGACTGACATTGTGTACATTTCAGTGGCATCGTGTACCAGCGCATCATGTCCATGTTGGCCCAGTGTGAGTTCACTATGGAGAAGTCCCTGCTGGTGTACGAGATGAACCTCCGGGAACAGGAGCACTACGACCAGCTCAGTCAGGACATTGGTGAGTACACAATCTCTGGATGAAAACCATCCTCCTGTCTTTCATACAGCCAACAAGTCAAGAATTTAATGTTTGTATTTCTGAAGCATTTTGGACCAACATGGAGTTTTATGACTCATACATTTTGTCTTTGGTAATGAACTGAAGTTTTAGTAATCTTCAACATTAGCCTTCTTCATATTGATTTACTATGCTTGTAGATATTTAGGTCTGCAGATGTCTTGAAGCTATATTCTCTCACTTTAAAGCTGACAAAAGTTTCCTCTGGATCTTTTATTATCATTACAAATTTATGTAAGTATCAGTAATTGTCAGTTGCTAATAATTGAAATTGAAATAATATTTCTTGTAGCTTGAAGCCTAACTCACCTATGTATATTCCAGAAAAAAAAATCAAGTCAGCCACATCTCAGATTGCTGAATGTAAGACAGAATTGCAACAGGCCAAGAGGATACGCAAAAACAGACAAGGTGAGATAGCTCTGCAATAGGATCTGGAATCGACATGGTGAGATAACTCTGCTGGAGGATCTAGAATGGACAAGGTGAGATAACTCTGCTGGAGATCTAGAATGGACAAGGTGAGATAACTCTGCTGGAGGATCTAGACTGGACAAGGTGAGATAACTCTGCTGGAGGATCTAGACTGGACATGGTGAGATAACTCTGCTGTAGGATCTAGAACAGGACAAGGTGGAGATAACTGCTGTAGGATCTGTAAGATCTAGAATGGACAAGGTGAGATAACTCTGCTGTAGGATCTAGAATGGACAAGGTGAGATAACTCTGCTGTAGGATCTAGAATGGACAAGGTGAGATAACTCTGCTGTAGGATCTAGACTGGACAAGGTGAGATAACTCTGCTGTAGGATCTAGAATGGACAAGGTGAGATAACTCTGCTGAAGGATCTGAAACAACATGGGGAGATAACTCTGCTGTAGGATCTAGAACAGACAAGGTGAGATAACTCTGCTGGAGGATCTAGACCTGAAAAGGTGAGATAACTCTGCTGGAGGATCTAGACTGGACAAGGTGAGATAACTCTGCTGGAGGATCTAGAATGGACATGGTGAGATAACTCTGCTGTAGGCTCTACAACAGACAAGGTGAGATAACTCTGTTGGAGGATCTAGAACAGAAATGGTGAGATAACGCTGTTGAAGGTTCTACAACAGAAATGGGGAGATAACTCTGTTGAAGGATCTGAAACAGAAATGGGGAGATAACTCTGTTGAAGGATCTAGAACAGAAATGGGGAGATAACTCTGTTGAAGGATCTAGAACAGAAATGGCAATATAGCCCAGGATCAGGATGTGTTCCTGACTGGAAATCAAACCGTCAATATTACACATTACACAGGTTTTGCATCATCCACTCCATTCCACCTTGCACCTGTGAAGATCCGGGTTAGAATTGGTTTTGACACAAAGATGATGTCCCATGTTTTAAGAATCACTAACACTGTGTTGTTTTGTTTGTTTTAGAGTATGATTCCTTGGCCAAAGTTATACAGAAACATCCGGACAGACAGGACACCACGAGGTGAGTTGTCCATATATACATCCAATAGTGCACTGCTGTAAGTACACCTTGGTCTGAGACACACTGCACTGAAGGTCAAGATGTTCTGGTCACGTGACTTGGGGTCTGGTAGGTGTGTCAGAATACCCACATCTCTTAGAATGTTTTAAACTTGACAATTCCATAGTTATTTTAAAAAAGTTAAAATGTGTAAACCAAGCCAATGTAAAAGTCATCTCAAAATGATTGACAGCGTATGACAGCCGTTCACTGACTGCTTGGGATCAGTTGGGAAATGTCCCATGTGTTTATGAAGTTTCCTGCATCTAATTAAACACTTCCTGAACTACAAACACAACAATCTGACAGTGTCTGACAGGAGAGCAGAAGGTCAGTGGTTTGGACCTCAGCTTATATAAAATACTTTAAAATAAGGTACTTGATGATACATTGCCTGGCACTGTTGTTGGTTGTTGGTTTTTACCTGCTTATTGGGGGGAGGCATCAGGTTTTTACAACAGCAAAAAAGATTTCTCAGAAAATTCTTGAAAAAAATAATTATGCTTTAGACTGTATGGAAAAAAATCAAAATTGTCTTCCAGTAAAACTGCTTTCTGCAGTGTGTATTTCTCTTTCTGCAATGTGTATTTCTCTTTCTGCAATGTGTATTTCTTAAAGAAAATATATATTCATACTTATGGTTTTAATAACAAAAATATCTGGTTTCTGCAGCTGTTGCTGAAATCTGTCTCACCCCCTTATTCCCATAAAACCATAACAGAATATCAAATGGTTGGTTTGTTAGGGACTGACGTTAAAGATCATGGGGTTGTGAGTTTGTTGTCTCTTCTACATGATTCTGGTGTATACAGAGGAGCACAACACACTCACTCTCCCGCTACATCCACTGAATATGTAACAAGACAACTTCAAAAGGCTTCCTAAGCCACTTGGGAGTTTTTCTTGCATTTTTAAGTAGTAGTCTTCATGTCAAGGTTTCTGCTCTTCTTGACCTACTTTGTCAGTTTAGTTTTTTAGATAGTAGTCTTACTGTTTTTGTCAGTGGTTGTTATATCAAAGACAAAACCCTTTCATCTGCTTTTTTACAATCTGAAAAACATCTCATTTGAACTATTTACTTGCATGCTATGTGGTTGTCTTGTTAAATTAGGGTTTAAAAGGACTCACAAGAGATTTTGGAATAATTTGGTTTGTTCAATATTCATGCACTCTTGATGATTCTGATTTGCACCTTGATGACTGATTTGCTCTTATTGATACTGGAAGGGCAGATTGAATTAATAAGAAAATGTAGTCATCTTTTTTGGTTAGATTGGAAATGGTAACAAAATTTTGATCAGTCACTCAATTGGTATTCAGTACTTTTAAAGTTTAACAATTTTGATTTTTAACACAAACTACTGTTTTACAGAAGCATTTCTTATCATATAATGGGTACCGGTATATGTTACAGTCAGTGTGTAGAAAGTTTCACTCAGGCAATTTACAAAACCACTAAATATGTCTGTCACATGTTCTTGTATTGTGATGTTTGTAAGCCCTTTTGGACTTCTTAATTTTTAGTCTGTCAATCAAGAAAATATGAGCAGTTTGATTTCAATGTGTTAATATACAGTCATACCCACAAAACTTTTCAGTATCATGCGGTATATGACCTACATTGTTTGATTTATCCCCATATTTATAAGCAATGATAAGGGCATGGAATACTGATGACATGATCTTCCTGTTTAGTTTACTTCGCTAATCAATGGTAGCCTGTTATTCAAAGTCACATTCAAAAAGCCCACTCACTCCGTGACTACCTGTGAAGATCTGGGTTAGAATTGGTCTTCAGCAACCGATGCTTGTTGAGGTGACTGACGCGTTTGTGTGGTCAGGCTTTCTGACTTGGTTGACACTAGTGTGTGAAATAGGTTTGAAATCTTGCTAGCCAGTCAGGCTAGCTATGCCTGAAAGTTACTAGCCCAGAAAAAATTCACCAGCCCGAAATTTAAATGTCAAAACTAACCAAAATATTACAAAAATAGATGAGAATGAGATATTGTCTGCACGACACGGGTTTCATCATTAAACTGCTAATATGATTAAATTTTGTATCAGGCCCTACTCTTGCATGATTTAAAAGTGTATTATAACTTAACAAGTCGGAGAGAGTGATGTGTTTACAAAATGACCCCATGAAAATTGACAAGCTAGTCGGGCCAGTGACTGGAGATTTACTGGCCCAACTGGATTTTTACTAGCCGCGGGCCAGTGGCTATTTCACACACTGGTTGACACATGTCATCGTATCCCAATTGCATAGATCAATGCTCATACTGTTGATCACTGGATTGTCTGTTCCAGACTCGATTATGTACATATAGCTAGAATATTGCTGAATACAGTGTTAGAAACCAACAAACCAATCCAAACCCACAATAGTGTTGTTTTCTTTTTTCAAATGTGCCTGCTAAAGGCACTAAATCTATGTTTACTTTGGACTAGTTTCATGATGTATCCCCATGTATTGTGTTCATTGGGAAGAGGATTATGTTTTACAGACAACTTCAGAGTTTGGACAAAGAGCTGACATCACAGACTGAGACCAAGCAGAAACTGGAAGAAAAGGTAGGAGTTATCTCCCATTGTTTTGTTGATTTGGAAAAAGAAAAAGAATGATCACATTTTTCACTAGAAGTTATTATGTGTTACACTGTCATGTTTCAGAGTACTGGTGTCTCAAATATTCGGCCAAACCAAACTCAAACATTAAAAAGTTCAACCTATTTGTGTTACATATATCAATAGCAGTTTGGTTGATGTTCAGAATTTTGAGCAATGTTGGGCTCACTGTAGTTCATATGAATAAACTCGTATTCCAGCCAAGGCCTACATAGAGTTTATACGGCGAGTACATTTTCTTTGACGCACCTTTTACGCAAGAAACTTGAGCGGAACAGTTTTAGGCAAAAACAAGAATGAAGACTCAACCTATCAACTAATGCATGTGCATGCATTACTAAAACAAACAATCGTCTTCAAAACGAGACACTTACCTCCACTAAAATCGACTCACTTTATTACTAAATGACCTGAAACATCAAGACCCCCACCAACATTCCACCATTTGTCGACCATTTTGGTTATGGTAATTAGTAGTTGTATCAAAAAAAGGAATCGTATTAAACGGACCGTGATTACATGACGCTCTGAAGTCTGAGGAAAGGGGACGAACTTTTAGCAGTTTCTATTTGTTCCTTAATACGTTTTAATGCGTTTCCACTTTTTATTCAACCGCTAATTACCATAACAGTATGGCCGACAAATGGTGGAAAGTAGGTGGGGTCTCTATGTTTCAGGTCATTTAAGTAATAAAATGAGTCGTTTTTAGAGGAGGTAAGTGTTTTGTTTTGAAGATGAATGAAAGTTTTATCAATCCATGCACATGTATAAGTCGATAGGTTGAGGTTCTACCCTCGTTTATGCCTAAATCCGTTGTGCCTCTCTGCCTAGTGAAGTGCGTCAAAGAACTTGAATTCGCCGGCTAGACGTCAAGCACATCTTGGTGTAGTGCAAAGTCGTCTAGTTATATGATGGACTAGGCTCACTGTGAATGCTGGAATATAGCCATTTTGTTGTGAAACCATATTTACTCACTCACTCAGCCTACGTAAGGCCAGGCATTTCATTGTCTATTGATTATATGGTTGATGGGTAGGAAATAAAAGACAGAAAATACTTCAGATGAATTTGATAAACATTACAATAAATTGTTAAAAATTCATGAACAGTGTTTGTTTGCCTCATGGTTTAGGCCTATGTAACTCTTTCTTGATGTTTCCCAATTGCATGCTATGTTTGTGGTAAACTACAAAGTTTGCATTGAGTGGAATCAAAAACATGCTTTTTAGATTACTTTTCTCCTCTGTTTCTTTGTCGGTTGATGGTTCCTGCCGTATCAAGATTTTAAGCAGTACTGTTATACATGCAACTCACATATATTAACCTGTACTTGTTCCACTGACAGCATTATGTCAGTTGAAACTGTCCAGGCTGAAGGAACCAGGCAAACGTAAATAAGCAGAATAATTACTGTGAGGATTCTGCTGTTCTTGTACAACACAGGAAGATACTAATATTGTTACACTGACATTTTCAGTTGGAGTTGCGGAGAAAGCAGTTCCTGGTGCTGATTACGGCAATACATGAGCTGCAGAGAATACTGGACGGTGAGAGTTGCACACAAACATTGTCTCATAACTGTACAGAGTTGTGTCCCTTGGGCAAGGCAGATTTTATGATGAAGGGTTCTCATCCTAAATTTGACCTGATAATGTTTCTAGGTTTGTTAGAATGGCCATATGCAGCTTCAAGCTGGAACAAGATGATGCAAGATTTGTTAAGTGACATTCAGTGAACATTCCCTATGTAAAGTTGATATTACTCACTTGGAATCAAACTTCAACTGACTCAGTCTTAGTAAGGTATGGGTTGTGGATGGACTACTTAGATACATCCACATCTTTCTCTGGTTTTTCTTCTTTTCTTTCACTCTCTACCCAATATCATTAGACTCTGGGTTGGAATATTGGTGGCTAAATAAATGTGATGGTCTGACTCAGTAACTGATTGAGTGTAATCGTATCCCGACATCGCAGGATCATTGCTTGCAATATCAATCACTGGATTGTCTGCTCCAAATTTGATTATTTACATACATCGTGCCATGACTCAGGTGGAATATTGCTAAGTGCTTGGGTAGACAACAAGGAAACAGGTCTTTCTCTCCCACATGTGTTTGATGTGTCCTCTTACGAATAGCAATCTGTGTTTCAGAGGATGAAAAGGCAGAGGAAGCAATGGAGACTGGATAGAATGGATCACACATCATTGTCATCTCAACTAATCATGTTATCAAGAGGCATTCAGATTTTAGCCTACATTTCACTGACAAAAAATCAGAAATATCATTGTTCCACCTAAGTAATAAAGATGTCACATTTTTCTTCATTGTGCTATGTGTTGTGGTCAGTTTACCTGGCCCCGATTTCTCGAAACAAACTTAAGTTTTTACTCAAATTTCAAACTGAGTTTGACTATTTGAAACAGCTGAATATTAACTCGGCTGCGTTTTTAAAATGCAAAAAGCCCAAACAACTTCAGTATTCTATTCACCAAACTTAAATTAACTACTATGTTTGAATTCAGCTCATTCTGGTAAATGCATTTTCTCAAATTTGAGTAAAAACTCTAACTTAAGTCAAAACTCAGACTTAAGTTTGTTTCGAGAAATCGGGGCCTGAAGTCATAGCAAAAGAAATATCCCTTTGCAATTTTTATCGTGTTGAAAAGGTCAGTTGAAAGAGCAAATATGCAGTCATTAAAATGCAGCCAATTCTGTCTTCTTTCAGTAGTGGACCCAAATCCTATTCTTTATATATGAACCCGTGATGGTCCGGGTTAGGATGAGCCTTTTGTAAACCATGCTTGTTGTAAGAGACGACTAATGGGATCAGGTGGTCAGGCTCGCTGGCTTGGTTGACATCGGTTCCCAATTACGCAGATCGATGCTCCTGCTGTTGATCACTGGATTGTCTGGACCAGCCTCGATTATTTACAGACCGCCACCATGTAACTGGAATATTGCTGAGTGCGGTGTAAAACTAAACTCACTCACTCATTCTTTACATATGATGAAATTTTGTATACGCATTGCCTACCATAATAGTGTGTTGATTTGGGTTCAAAGGCAAAATTGGTCATGGGGTAGCCCTCTTGGGGTAGCCCTCTTGGGGTAGCCCACATGGGTACAATGTGTGATACTCACTTCTGGTGTACCCAGCCAAGATATTGCTGGAATATTGCTAAAAGTGGCATAACACCCAACTTACTTGCTCACTATGAAAGTTACCGGTACATCAATTTTGGTTTACAATTGTGTTTGAGATTTTGTTGGATGGCTTTTGGTTTGCTTTCCTTCCTTCCCCATCTATTCCTTCTCCCCTCCTTTCAAGTCACAAATGGCCCACATTTTCTACAATCCTAGATCCGCCTTGTTCATTCATGCACCTGGAGCCTGTAGGTCTGTCTAAAAGCTGGGCCAAGCTTTGATGTGCACATACTGTGTATCTTGATGCACATCACATGCGCAAGGTTGCACGTTAGTACGAGAGCAGCTTTAATTGAAGTGGGAAGTCAGACAAATTACGTCAACGGAATCAGATTGTTTTCCTTCTGTGGGATTTATCTTGAACAGTTTACTGACTTGGTAGTGACAGTGGGGATGTAGAGGGGCAGTGCGATTGTACATCTGCCCTGGAATCTTACGTTTCGTCGCAAGTGTAAAATAACATCACGACTTGAATGAATGTGAAATAACTGCTTCGTCTGTTGTAAAAACATTTCAAATGAATTTTGATGAAACTTCAATGAAGGATTTGGAAAAAAGAGCAGGCGTCAGGAATGAGAAAGAGATTCTTCCTGCGTAACTAACATTCAAAAGGTTATTTTCAAAGGCATTAAGAGTTTAAAGTAAGATTACAGTGTGTGATGAGTTGAATTTAAATTGTTCAGAGTGAAAGACTTTTCTGCGAACAGAAGTTGTTTTGGGGGGAAGGCGGGTATAGCTACTCAAGCCAGAATCTTGCAAGACTTGGTGTATAATTTCTAAATTCTTTTGAGGGCGGTGGGGTAGCCTAATGGTGAAAGAGTTCGCTCGTCATGCTGAAGACCCGGGTTCAATTCCCCACATGGGCATAATGTGTGAAGCCCATTTCTGGTGTCCTCCACCATGATATTGCTGGAATATTGCTAAAACTCATACATCACTAAAATCTTTTGATCTGTTTAACACATAAGTACTGGGTATTGACTGCCGAGACTGAAACAAACAGATCACTGGTCTAGACAAGTTATTGGATGCTGGTGTTCAAAGCCATTCTTGCTGGCTTCCAGATACAACTAAGCTTATGCAAAGCTTAAAGGATTGTTTCATGTTGGCTAATGACCAATAGTGTATGACAAAACGCTGTGTTGTGTCCCTTGATTATGCCTGGATCTGCAGTGGTGGATTCTAATCCCAGATTTGGCTGCATTAATCTATGCTTCAGTTTTCTAGAAAATCTGAAGTGTGGTCAGTGGAGGTTACTGTCATACTCCATCTTGGATTCTGGGTTGGATCAATCAGTAGGTTTGGTTGACTTGATTGCAAGTCTACAATATGTTTATTGTGGTTCTTGAATTCAATCACTGGTTTCACTGAATCAGACTTGGGTATTTCCAGTGTTCACTCATACAACAAGAATAGTGTGTGATTTAAACAGTATTTTATTTCCATTAATGTTTACATTTTTCATAATACACGACATAACAAAATGGAAATAGGATTAGCAAACAGGCCATATGGCCTATGTCAATGCTTCTCCGCATATAGTTCGTTATATCTTGACATAATTCTATGGAGCAGACATTAGGACATTAATGAATGAATCAAAACAAAATAAAAATAAAGAAAATAAAATAAAGAACAAGAATAGTGTGTACTTAAGGTCACACTCTGCAATTTTCCATCTATATAAGGGTGGTCTGTAAATTATAGTGTGGACCAGACGTTCTAGTAATGGACATTATCAGCATCAATCTATGCAATTGTGATACATGACGCTCATCAACCAAGCCAGCGAGCATGACCAGCCATCCGCCCTCTTAGGACAAGCATGGATTGCTGAAAACCAGTTCTAACTGGGACTTCAGATTCTATAGTAAAGCTGACACGTTTATGCAATCACCAGCTGCATCATTTAGATACAGGGGTGGGATGGTAGGGGGTTATAATCCCTGGTTCACCAACAGCTAGATACCTGTCACCGAATGTGTCAACATATATCTACTGCGTCACAATGAGCTGTACTCCCACATCAGGCACAGAGGCAGTGATGACAATGAAATACTCATCAATCAGCATCAGTCCACTTCAAACACTTTTCATCAGTCTTGTCTCATATGCGTATAAATGTAAGATAAAAGGGCTTTGTATACACCTTGCTTTTCAACTTCTTGGTATGACGTAAAACAAGCTTAGCAATATATCCTTGTGTCTAGCAGCCATCTTATGCTTAGGCCAGACAGTTTTTTGGTTTACAGATTTTTGGCTGTATAATGTTGGTTGGTAGGGGAAAAGATTAAACATATAACATACACTGTTTCAATATATACTCATGGAAACAAATACGGGAACACATGAAAGTACAAGTGTTCCTTTATTCTTTTCCAGGTCTCTTCACAAGGTATGTATTGCACTGTGAGTACAATTCTGGAAATAAATAAAGGAACACTGTACTTTCATGTGTTCCCTTATTCATTTCTATGAGTATATTTAATTTTTTTATAAAAAGTTAACTGATAAGGCAAGAAAACCGAGAGACCATGTGTAGAGAATCAAGAAGAAATGCCAAGGATGAATTGTCTGTTGAATCTAGAGACTTTTAGAAAGATATTTCTCAAGTCAGCCGAATGAAAAGAAAAAACACAAAAACTTTTCTTTCTTTCCCGTTAGGTGTTTGGGATTCCTAAACAACCAAAACTATGTGTGGCCTTAAACGCAAGTCACAGCTAAATTACACCCTGAGGCTTTTAAAAACAACAAGGTAGAAGCTTGTTTTTTCTACATTCCGGATTCCCCAAGTTCAATGCCAGGCATATTTGACTAATCCCTATGACGATCAGGTGGAGGTATGGTCCATTCATCAAGCCACAGAAGAAACACAGTTAATATTCACTGATGTCTGTTTCGCTGTCGTGAGTCACAAAGCCAGCGATACCCCTTAAGTTACTGTAAACAAACACGTAATTAGCAGGTAGAGCTCACACAGGCAGGTGAAGGGGTGTTTGGAGTCGCCGACAGGGTCCACCTACTGACCTACAAGGATTGCCAACAACAGCGTGGGTCAAAGAGTTCACGATCTCACAACGGGAAGTATCTCGCGTCCGCCTCAATTGTTCTAGGTACTGGATGTATTCGTGCTTGGTGTATTGAGTCGGACAAGACATACAATGGTGATAAATGAGTTCACGCACGCAGTTGGCACTGTAATGTCAAACCGAAAGTTAGTATAATACAAAATATTATGGATGTCAACTTCTTCTTTATTGTATACACAACGTTTCAGGGCTTTTCCTTGCCCCTTCGTCATTCACCTGACGATGGGACAAGGAAAAGCCCAGAAACGTTGTTTATACAATATTTAAAGTGAAAGAGTTTAATTTTACGCCGCTTTGGGCAATATTCCAGCAATATCACGGCGGGGGACACCAGAAATGGGTTTCGCGCATTGTACCTGTGCGGGTATGCAATAAAGAAGCTATCCATAATATTTTGTCTTAAGCTTATACCTGAATACCAACTTCTATATGCCTATAAGGAACCCCGAAAGTTACTAGCTATAGCTACTACAATTTTCTCGCTGGACAGTTAAAAAAAACAGAAAGGAAAAAAATAGGTTTCACACAAGCAAACATAGCATGATTTGAGCCGGTCAGTTATATTTACCTACCTTATCCCAGTATTTAATAGGGGCGGTGGGAGAACCTAATGGTTAAAGCGTTCGCTCGTCACGCCGACGACCCGGGTTCGATTCCCCACATGGACACAATGTGTGAAGCCCATTTCTGGAGTCCCCCGCCGTGATATTGCTGGAATATTGCTAAAAGCGGCGTAAGACCATACTAACTCATTACTGAATATTTTGTTCTGACTCTAGATATATCACGCCCCGAAGGGCCTTTGGAGCATATTTTCAGACATCGTTTGAAGATAAGCATTATTTCACATAGTCCTTTGGCGCGATATCCAAGGTCGGTCCCAGGAAATGATCCTTCTTCTAACTCGAACGATATTTATGCAACTCAACCTAGCATTATTATTTTTCTCTTATTACACAAACAATATTTCAGTTTCACTCGTTACACAATTTACCACCGCTCCACCAAATTGTTTGATAGGCATGTGTTAA